AACTGCTGATTATCCTCGCTGGCGGATGTTGGGTCCGGTGGACGGAGAGAGGATAAACAAGAAGGTAACTCGAATGAATGTTCCTAAGACAGACCTGTTCTCACGCACCCCCAGGATACTTTGCCCTGGAAACGTTTTTTTTACTAACACGAGTAGCACCATCTCCAAATTGAATGTAGAATATTATTTGCAATGGTCTTGACACAGCAGGTACTCATTATTTAAGCTTAATTTAAAATATTAGTAAAACCATTTTTTCTCTCTTTCCGATCACGGCTCAACCTGATCAGACTTTCACGTTTCATTTCGCGTTACCACAGTTTTGCCGGAGATTTTCATTCTACGCCGATTAATTAGTTTACGAGATAAGAAAGTTGTTTCACACTGACATTTAATCACATGAAACTTTCTTTCAGCAAACTAAGTTGCTTTTTTTATATTGAGAAACATCAGTAAATTTCTCAAGGTAATTGGCAGCATAACGTTACACAAATGTATATTTGTGGTTCTTGAAATATAACATGAAAGTTACTATTTTTTAGTAGTGTTTACGTGCAAACTATTTGCATGTAGAGCAATACAATGATCACGTAATCATTAATGTTTTAATTTTCTATCAAATCTGCATTTCTCTCTAAGAATGGAATTTAGTCATAATTACGCAGAATAAGTACGCTGTCACCACCACACTTGTGACCACCACACAAAAACCATAGTTTTTGCCCCACAGGTTGCAATTATGCCACCATTTATTATTATTATTATTATTATTATTATTATTATTATTATGTTTTGCAAATTACTCTTAGAATAGTGAAATGACAAACTCTGGTTAAAATGGCGAAAATACTGAGTACGCAGTTTTCAAACCTCCGGTACACCTTATGAATCCTTGTAGATGTTATCAAGATCTCCAATGTGCATTTGATTTAAAACATAATAGCTAATTTTCTTACACCGTTAAGGACTACTGGGGTTACGTTGCTGGGATCTACGAAAGCGTAAGCTTCCGGAGCTGGAATCGGTAGAAATTTGGTGTGTACGGGAGACGCCACCACCTAGTCATAGCAATTAACATTTCGGCTATCGTACTGTAACCTTCCTCAGGGCAGAAATAGGTGAAGGTGGCTGAGCATGGCTTTATGACACATGATGTTCCCGTTCACCCAGCAGCCGGTCGGTCGGATGATCAGCCAATGCGGAGAAAGCATCAATTTGCGCAACTATCCTCCTGGACGGGTAGGGGGAAAAAGAACGCCTATGGTCGAACGTCAAGGAGCACCGTGAAACGCGCTCTGATCCGACAGAAATGACGCGGTGAAATGTTTCCAGGTATCGTGGAGACAATTCCGAAAATTTGATTGCTAAGGTCCATGTTTCCACGAGATCTGGAAACATCTATTTTACGGCGACGGGACGCCCGGTCGCGGTACTCGCTGCTTCTTGACGACCGACCACGGGTGGCTCCGTTCACAGACTGCGTCATTAGAGTTACGAACAAAAACAAAACACTTTTCCGGGAAGCCATGCTTCTGATTGCGCATAGTAAAGAAATTATGTACTGACAATATTATAAATGTCACGCTGGAGTGCGCCTATTCTGAAAATATTATCTCTGTATAATTTCGTATATTAAACGCGTTGGTTCAAACAAGTGGAGATGCGATGTTTAATCATTTTATGGTCTAAAAGAAAGAGTATTATAAGAAACGCTTTAGACGATATGTAATATATAGCTTACAAAATGTGGAAGCGAGCGACAGTAAAATTAAGCGTTCACACACGTCGTAGGTAGTTGAGTTGGGAATCATGTTGCTTCCTAATAATATCGCATTGAGACTATTTCAGTACGAAGTTGTTGATTAACGTAAAAGCCCTAATTTTCTTAAACTAGATGAAAAGCAGTAATTCAAGTTAAAGAACAAAATAATTTATTTCTAAAATTTGTCTATGATGAAAACAAAATGAAATGAAACAACATGATTTTTTGTTGCTTTTATTAAGAAAAATATTTGAAATCGTTCTCAAAACTGCTAGAAATGCATACATTTCGAGCCGATTCTTGGAAACGATTTTCCTGCAAACTTAGATATAATTTCAAATGAGAAGCAGATAGTTGAATGGCGAAGTCATCGCCGAGAAATAGAACAAGTATTTTGAAGAACACGACCAGCGATATGCATCTGTTTTTGATCACCTCACAAAAGAGTGTCCTGTTTGGTCGCAAAAGCTACATTTAGTGCAATGTACAATGACTCAGCCGAATGTCGTACGACATATCGCAGGTTCTGCGGTGACATCCTGCCTTGCAAGTCCGCTGTGTTAGCGGCCCAGAGATCACGCGATGCTGAACAGGAGAATGTGAACGTTTCAAAAGAAGCATTCCAACGCCATTCCTGTTCTCGGAAACACATGGGGAGAGTGGTCAAAAGTTTTGTGGACAATTCCTACAAAAAAATTGCAATATAATTTTAGAAAAATTTCATGTTTTAGAACTAATGCTACATGTATTTACAATATATCACAACTATTTTATAAACCTTTGTGGTAAAATATTTTAATTTTTTGATGTATGGCTACAGCATAAAAATTAAGAACATTGATATCAACAGCCCAAAATATTTTCTGTACCTTCCGTCAGGAAGCAGATGGTTTCGTTCTGTTTTAAGAACCATTCTCAATTCACTATGTTGTTGTGATTGTTATCTACATATACTAAAATAAGATTGCAACTGATTTATGGGCATATCTGGCTATAAGAGGATGCCTGAGTTTCCATGACACATTTGTAAATATGTGGTTAGTTGAAAGAAAATACTATCACTTAGGGTTAACAAAGAGTGTATTTAATTGAAGTTCCAAACGATGAAACGGTAATAACTTATCAAATCAAAGATGTAGGAATAAAACTACCCTGCGGTTCATCGTTGACGCCCCCTCCTTCGATGGTGTGCAACTTGGTTGGACAACTACCTAAAAAGCAGCGAAACGCGCGTCTCCTTTTTCTCCTCGTCCTCCTCCTCCTCTTCCTACTCCAAGGGTAATTAAGAAAATCTGTTGAAGAGACAAAGTGCAACAGGAAATGAAAAAAAGTAAATTGAGAGTGGAAAGGGGAAGAAAAAGAAAACTCATACACGAGACGTTTGATATTTCTCTTAGAAGAACTTAGTAGCTGGAACTGCTGCGTGCCTGAAGCAAAGATTTTGTTGTTTGTTTTCTTCTACAAAGGGTCTGAACGCTAGTTGATGGGGAATCTACAACAATCCTTCGTTCGTATATGGAATTGGTTAGAAATAGTTGTTGTAGCTGCTACTTCCGACGTTAAAAAAATTTAATGTAAACGTTCATTAATTAGTATTTCATAAGTATTTCTAATTAATTAGATTTCTGAACACTAGTGAATCTGAATTTACAACAGTCCATCGTTCGCATATCAAAATGCTTAAAAACAATTGATTTCGCAAGTAATTCCGACTTTTTTAAATTAAAGTCAATTTTCATTCAATAGCATTTCAAAAGTTTTATTCGCATTGAAAAGAGATGCAGTGAAAAATCATACACGACTTCTCTCGTTGCCATGACCTTATCGAGATAAACCAATTCTAGAGAATAACCGAGATAAATCTAAATATACTGTTGAGACTAATATTGCTCAAAACATTCATGGCAAGTGGCATTGTTGTGTGTTCTTTTTAACCGAAAGAGTAAACATCAAAAATACCTAAAATTGGAATTATTTTCCACGTTTCGAAATTTTGACAAAAAATTTTTTCTTAAATTAACGCCCAAAAATTAATAAAAAATGTGGAAATTTGTTTTTCTTTGAATTAATTTCTTCAATGCAATTTTTTTGGGGCCTTTTTTTCGTCCTATGGAAATCAATGGGTAATTCTAACTTTGAAACCTTCAAGTGAGAATCCAATCATACGTCAAAGCTTCATATAGGTGCACAAAATGAACCATTAATAACTATGTGGCTACAAATTGGCACACACTTTTCTGTATTAAGTTTTTTATTTACATTGGTCTTGGCTAGCTATCGGACTGCCGCATACTCTTGCTCAGCTGCCATCTATCGCCACCCAAAGTACATTTTCTTATTTTCTTAATTCTTTTGGCATCCTAATAGTAGAACGAAAATATTATTTCAGAATATTAAAGAACAGTAAAAATCCTCTAAAAGGAATTTTCTATTGAAAATCTTAGGAGTCGTTTTTTTAAAGAAAATGGCCATTCTTAAATGGTAATTTAAGTTTGACATCCTTTCGCAGAAAACTATGGGTGTTTTTTTTCAAGAACTTCAGATAGATGTCATTTCAAAAATTCGTCACCAAATGCAACAGTGTTTTCAATCGCTGAAACAAGACTATTCAATGCATGAAAAAAAACATTTAAAAAAATTTTGTAAATTAAAAAAAACATATAATACAATATAATTCTATGTCACTAGGAAATAATAACATAGATTTCTCGTCTGTTGGACTTCATGTTGCCCCGTATGCATTAGCTCTAAAGTTAAACTTTAATAAATCTATTTATCTATTATCTTTAATTTGAAGGGTGTTGTTCTCTAAACGAAAAGTTTTTTAACCGCCTCCGACAGTCGAATAATAATAACATTAATCTGAAATGAAATTGAATTCTATGTCATCATAAAGACGCAACAAGTCTATATGTTTGAAAAGTTTGGAAGAACAAATTGGAAAAGCAATTTGAGAAAATAGCGTTTGAACGTTCTGAACACGTGAAATTTCATTGAAAGAAAAATCTATCCCTTAATTTTGTAGCTGTAGAAAACGTACCAAAAAAAAAATTATACTTCTGAAATTTTCAAAAATTCAGAGTTAATTGTGAAAATCGGACTGTGACTTGCGCTTCGGGATAAAACTTGACTGGGCCTCGCAGAATTACGTAGTGCGTGGTCCAAAATAGTCGATATTCGCGAAGAAAATTATATTAATATTAATATAAATACAAACTTCAAATATATTTATTACAATATTAAAATTGTCGAAATGAATTTGTGTTTGCAGTACATTATTATCGTTCTATCAACTCTGTAGGGGATTTAGTATTTAACAACTAAAGTAATATCATGATTCAGTCACGTTGTATTAATGTTAAACGGATATCCGTCAGAGAGTCAAAGAGTTCGTAGAAGCAGCGTCACATTTTATATTTCTGTTTACAATTCCTTAACATCCTAAGAATAGGAGGTACATCTGTTCCAGTTTAAAAGCATGCTGCGTATTAATAGACAAAAAAGTGAAATAACAAACAATAGAAAACAAACAAAAGTACAATTTTACGTCGTCCGAATAAAAAACACCGTAGTAGCCATATTGCGTAACCCCCCGTCTCCGTCCGTAGGCTGCATGGGCCAAGAGCTCCCATTGTGGTCAAGAGCCCAGGCGGTCGTGCAGCAGCCTCGACGCACCACGCCCACTCGCCGCCGGAAGGCCCGAGGGCGATGGCTCGCTCCGGTCGACACTGTACTGCTTCTGTCTCAGCTCTTCCAAGTTCCTACAAACACAGCTTCTTCTACTCCTTCATTCCACGCGTGCGTGTGTGTGTGTGTGAGCGCACGCGCGTGTGTGTGTGTGAGAGCGCGCGCGTGTGTGTGTGTGTGTGAGAGCGCGCGCGTATGTGCGTGTGTGTGCGCGCGTATGTGCGTGTGTGTGCGCGCGTATGTGCGTGTGCGTGTGTGCGCGCATATGTGCGTGTGCGTGTGAGTGTGTGCCCGCGTATGCGCGTGTGTGTGCGCGTTTGCAGGTTGTGCGTGTGTGCGCGAGCGTGCGTGTGCATCCGTGTGTGCCCGTGCGTGTGTGAATTTTTGATCTTGACTACGCCACGAAATCAACTTCCATAAAAACGGATTATGACCAAATACAATCGACAAAAAATGTGAAGAAGCACAACCATTTTTTTGACATTTTGACCACAGTGCAAAAGAGGTCTTATTAATAAGTACTCTAATTTTAAATTTTATTTTATATTTGTCTGTTACTCTTTCAAATGCAAATGTTTTCTGGGGTCATCCAATTTTACATACAATGTAATAACACATTACATGTGTCATAGGATTTTCCGTATATCAATGTTTATTGATATGAATTTACTTTTAGACTATATTGTTAACCTAATTTTAGTTGGTTTCGTCCTTTAAACATTGTAGCCGGAGTTATAATGATCGGACACATGCAATCACGACCAAAAAAACTTTGATGTCTTCAAAAATTTTTAAAAGAGTGTTGCAAACGTATTAAAATCCTATTAGATACACAATAATAGATTACATAATAATTTGGATAAAAAATACTGAATTCATTGTTTTTAGAATTCGAGAGATATTTATATTTTTAACACGGATATTGCAAGAACTCACTGGATTATCTCAATAACAACGTAAGGGAAATGTTGATTGTGAATTTGGTAACTAGCAAGAGAATAATGAATTAACAATGTTTGTCAAATACGTTAACGATTTGAAAGATTCCCAGTAACCTTCAGATACATTGTTTTGCCTTTTCCTGATATTTCAGTTTGTTATAACCAAACTGGAGCTTCAATACGGTGTACGAATTAGAAACGAATCAAAATTATTTGAGTAGCCTATTATAATGATTTACGAATGAAAATATCATGATTTTGGTGTTTGAAGGCAGAAAAAATCTTAATACCGTGACGAAACCATGAACAATAAAATGAAAGGTAGGCTTTACATTCTAAAAGTTCTGAAGAAAATAACAACTACGATTTTGTTTAGTTTACAAATCTTTAAGATAGTGAAATAGTGATTGATTCCGGTTAAACATGTTTTCCCTTAAAGAGTAATTTTGGCTTGTAAAAAGTATTTATATATTTTTATCAGTTATACTTGATTATTATTTCATGCTTTCCCTTCATTTCCGTTTATAAATTATTACTTCAAAAATACTTCCAAAAATATCATAGAAATTAAGGTTGGTGCTACAAATTCACGAAAGAAACTTCGATCTACACCAGAAAGTACAGTAAAATGGGATACATCAAATATTACAATCCCAAAGTTTACACAAGTCTTGCAAAGAGGGATTAAATATTCATTAAAAAATTAATTTAGTGATTTTTCCTCTTACAAAGAGTAAATTTACCAAGAATAGGCCAAAATACGTTTGACCCATTCAAGAAAATTATCTATTTTGTACGCGGAACGGTGTAAATTACAACAAGAATAAACTAAAATAAAAGTTTTTGCTAACATTGTTTTATGATTTTTGGACAATAATACTTGCGAGCAATTCAGCGGCGTCTTCGTCTGAACAGCCTGATGGTTTGGATCAAACTGGTACATTTTGGTAGCCGAGATGAGAGGAATTCTTGATCTTCCTGATGAACAAACAGAAAATATAACACGTTGGAAACAATATTCTTAAAAATAACAAATACTTAAGTATCTAATGAAACATTTTCGGTAAACGTTAGAACTATAACAATAGAACTTTTTGTGGCAGGTATTATTTTTTTTCTTTTAATGATACTTGGAGAAAACTACTCCGTTGGAAAACTTATACGAAAATATGACTAGTTTGTTCCTTGTGCAAGAGTGTCTGTCGGAACAAATATTGCATACCTCAGAGCAAATTACTGGAACGTTGTAATTCATACATGTTTAAATGACAACTTTGCAAATTTACCCTTGTACGACAAATCTTCTTCCTAAAAAACTAATTCTTTAATAAAAACTAAAAAACTAATATGTAATGTTATGATCACCAGCAATTTTGTAGCAAATTCCATATCTTTTGAAATATCAGACCCCTTTTACTTTCATGACAGGTAAACGTTATTCATGTGAAACTTTACTCAAGGAGAAAGAAAAAATGACACAACGTTGAATAAGAGAAGCCTTACTTTCCTCGAAAAATATCAACGACAAATCGATCATAGAAAGTTAAGTTGAGAACAATTACTTTTTTTCTGGTAGGTGAAATTTTGTCGAGACGTCTAAGGATAATGGCCGACCTCTTGAGCATTATTGAAATGGATGTTTCTTAAGTCACTGATTCTTATTCACAGACTGCTATTATTCTCAAGAGAAGAAAAATGAGCGAATATAAATTATGAAAAAATATATTTGTGGGAGATAGTTCGCTGCTGAGTTGCCTCTAATTCGACCTTGTCTTTGCCATTTTAGGTAACTCCAACTTTAGAAAACAATGACTATGATATCGATGAATATTACGTAACACGACATTGGTACAAAAAAACAGTAAATCTAATGGAATTTTCCAATTACGAACAATACCTAAATGTATAAGGCAAATGGGACCCTCTTTCAGAAACGTCTGTGATATACATATTCTATAAGACTCCACTATTTAACCAATTACGTATTTGTTGCTTAGGGATTTATTTCTTATGCGGGATCTATGAAATAGGCTCCTAGTTTGTATATGAAATACACTACGTAAAGGTCATTCGAAGGGGCCGTCTTTGAATGTAAATCAAAGTAAATGGATACATATGCACCAAATGTGGCGGTCATATAGGGTTCTAATGATCGAGGGTCTACAAACGGACGAGGGCCTGCGATTGAGATCATTAGAACCTACTAACGCAGGTGGTACATGCAAGATTTTATTTTTCATCTAATTTTAATGATTCAGATTTACTTATGTACCAATTAATTTTATGTTAACTTGTCTTTTCATATGTCCCTCTCATAATTTCCTTCATAAGAGAGTATACAGAAACATTCAACTCTTTTCATATTTCACTCTTGACCAAGATCCTCCCGAACAAGATAAATTATGGAATGTATACTGTAACGTCCCCACCACCTCACACTATCGAGCTCTCTATCGAAAACAATAAGAAGCAATAACATATCAGTAAAATATAGTATTACACTATAGAAATTAAGAATATTTTAGAAAAATATGTAAGGTACATAATTTGTAGGATATTTCACGAAAATAATTTTTGTATCGGTACATGTGATTAAGAGTATACAATTTTCGAATTATAAACGAAAATATAAAATTAATATTTTTTCGCATTTTTCTTAAAATGCACAATGCAATTTACAAGGTTGCAACGTTGAATTTGGAATCCAGCACCTCTAAAAACCCATGCATCATAGCCTTCGACCACTTGGACAGTCAAGAGCATTCCCAAGAAAGAAAGAAAAAAAAACAGTTTGTATTTCTTTGGGATTGTCCTCGTGTTTTCATCAAGTGACTGGTCTACCATGCCGTGGCGTCATCGGCTGTTCGGGCTTGCTGCTACTCTCTTCACGTCACAGGGCTGCAATTATCACAACCCATAATATACTTAGAACTCCACCTTCACACTAAACTAAATTGGAAAATCTATGCATCAAAATTAAACAAGCAAGAAACAAATTAATTGAACTCTAGCCTCTAGTCAACAACCACTAATCACTTCCATATACATTCTACAACAGTGTAAAAACAAAAGTAAGTTAATGCTCTAATGCTGGGCCATATATAGAAAAACACAGGACTCACACAAACATCACAAACTCCAAAACATTTCTAAATAAATTATCTTCAGAATTTAATCACCAACGTTCCTTTGTTCATAAGTAACAAAACAAAATTATAAATTAAACATCAAGTACATAATAAACGAAATAGGCACATTATATCAGATAACATTGCTACTAAACTTAAAGTCATACCAGCAGTACCATCATTTCAAACTAGAGAAAACCCAACCTACACTCAAATAAAAAATTGATTCTCATTTGAAGCCTTGCTCAAAATCTTAGCCAACCAAAGTGCACATATCTGAGGTTCTTCCCTAGAGAGTGCTCTTCGATGTTTTGATTAAGTAAGCTTACATTTTTAACCAACATAAGCCTGGATTACATTATCTGAACGCTGTATTCCTCCTGAAAACCACTAAATATCTTTTTTTAGAGATTCTGTCATTACCGCTGCCGCGCCGCGCCTGAGCCTGGGCCAGCATCTGGGCTTGGAGCTCGTCCTTGGCAGGCTGGCGGGCGAGAGCCGGGGCGAGGGACTGTCCTTGGGCGTCCCCAGCCGCCGCCTCCCCGCCGCCCGCCGCGCGCCCGCTGCCCATCTCCCGCACCAGCATGATGGTGGCCACCGCCACCGACGCGCCGCCCAGCACCGAGTTCAGCATCAGGTCCACCGCCACCTGCCGCCAAGCGTCATCCACGCATTGAAACTGCCAAGGTCATGCACATTGATTAGTTGGTTAATTAGCGATTCCGGGCGCGTCAACTGCCAAGGTCATTAGTCCCATGAGATTTTATCGCGGGAGGTAGCGATAATCCCCCGTTGAGTGGCGCGAAGCGGCGTTGGATCGCGGATTTTTTCCTCATCCAGATCTCTCACATCAATGCGGCAAGCCCAAGTCCCAGCCCCAGCCCGAGCAAGCTCTGAGCTCCCGTCTGGTGTCTCGGCATTTGTGGTAGTATAGTGCATGTAAGCGTAAGTGTGCATATATAAGTGAGGATAGGACAAGGAATGGGAAGGAGAGATAACGCATCAGTAGCCCATTCGTTAGAATACTCCTCCGGAATTCGCCTGGTGCTGATCGGTAAAACCATAAAAAATTACTGAACACAACAACCGGCCGCTATATCGATGCAGTGTTGTTTCCGTGCAGTCAACTGTTACAGCCATTCAAGATGTGCGCGTTTAATATCTTCTTGCCTTTACCCTGAGGGTTCCCGATTTCTCTGCCTAAAAACATCTACATAGCTGCTTAAGTATGTTAAAGTGCTTCAAAGCAAAATAGGGTAAAACCTTTGGAACAAAATTTCTGTACTAAAATATGAGTTTTTGGGAAGACTATTTACCTCTTCTACCAAAAAAAGTTTATCAGTTTAATTCAGTTTAAATTACTTGAAGACCTGCTTCCAAATTTGCACAATACATTTTTTTCGACTTTTAAAAATCGATTTTTGGTAATATTATCGAAAGAACTAAAGGTGTTTATCTAAGCCGTTGGATGATATTCCATATGAATTGATTGTCAACTGTGTTGGTTACTATTCCCGTGTGTGTAATGCATGATGTATTGCAGGAAATGGCAGTGTTCGTTTCCAACAGAAACAATTTTCAGCATCCATCTTCCTTACAGTTAATTGCCAAACAGCGTCTAATTGCCTAAACAGCGTCTTGCGGGTTTCCCCTCCCAAAGCATCTCCTCCAGCGGGGAGGCGCCTCAATCGTAAGAGCTCTAAGCTCCCGTCTGATCTCCCGATGCGTATGGTAATGAAGGGAATACATGAGAGTGTATGTAAGAGGATAGGAGAGGACAAGGATGAGGAAGGAATAATGGAACTCGTTCCGTGACACACTTGTAAAGGCGAACACTGGAGCAGTAACGTGACACAAAAGCCATGGACCGAGCGTGACCTTCCCTTACTCAATATTTTCCTTTTATCACCACTTACAATACATACCCGTATGGACTATCCTACCGGCTAGCAGGCTATGGACGGTGCCCTGCTAGCGGAGATACCTAGAGGGTGGATACCCTGCCTTTAGGACTGTGCCGCTTTACATTCACACAGAAGATGAACACCGCCATCTTCCGTAAAATAAGAGCACTACACTTACGGGAGTGATAAACACATGCCGCAACCGGAATCACAAAATAACGAATCTATCAATAGAAGGATACTCCTTAAGTAGTCTGTTTCTACACGTTTTCCAAACAAATCCATAAACATTTCGGGCATGTACAAACGGAATATTCACTTTTTGCCAATGAAAATGTCATGAGAAATATCATTTAGCGGAGTGCTGTTTGTGACATCGCGCCCCCGATTCGGAGACCCATCGCCTTGCTCTGGGGCGTGGCTGGCACACGAACCCCTGAGAACGAGCTGACCACCAGCAATGGCGATGCGACATGATTTGTCTTCATTGTTGCGCTTTGACTACACAAAACTGCTCAAAATGGCGGCCAAGTAGTTTGATGGTGCTCGATAACGGCGATGAACGTTCTGACAAACGTTCGAGCAGTCTTCGGGCAACTTGCCGTTCACTTCCGCTGCCTCGTCTACAAACTGTACAACCAGCGAACGTGCAGGCCTCCCCACGGACGTTCGGTGGAGGAGCAACGGAAAAGAACAACGCAATTAACGCAATTAACACAACGCAATTAACACAAAATGTCTTATGGCGTTTTCGCAAACAATGATCACAAACGTTTCGGGAGTTTAGCAGCACATTTCTTTTTTATTTTACAATCAAACAGAAAAATATCGGTTAGATTCTAAGATCACAACACTCGCCGACCAGTATTATAATAAGAATTTGTCTTCCACAATGCAAAGCGCATGTATTCTGTAATGGAAAACATCTTTTGCTATTTGACATAACTTTCGAAAGAACATTTGGCGTCCCTTTTCTATTGTGAAGAAAATATATGAATCCATGTGAAAAAATATGATTCCACAGTGAACGAACATTGAATACAAAAGTACGTTTATCAAATATAAAAAAGAAGTAATACCAACCTCCGCCAAAACGCGGAGCATGGATTGGGTCCAGTCGTTGGTGACGATGAAGTACAGTGTTTCCAGCGGCAAAATGATAGCCTGCAAGAACGCCTCTAAGAGACGCCAGCGGTCTATTTTCGGGAAGAAGCTCAAAGACATTTTTGGCCATTCGCCGAGTCCACGGACCCTGCAACAGAAAATAAAATGATTTATCTCTCCACTTCGATTTTGAAATTTTTCAACAAGAACAAATTACTGTTTTGTTGCATTAAATTGAAAAGCTGCAACAAATGTGATACTTGATAGAATGTTTCTGCATTGTAGCAAAATTATGACTGATAATTTACTTTGCAAATTACAATTTTTTTTAAAATATTGATTATACACAGTTTAATAAACGAAAGGATCAAAAGAAAATAAACAAACTAGCTGTGCACAATTCATACCCTGTTATCACCGTAAAACGTCAGTTAAACTTTGTATATCCTAGTGGCAGCACAAAATAATTCAATGTTCTTAATTCAGTAATGTTCCCACCCATCAAATTAGTATTCCAACTGAAGAGCTTTGTGTGCATTTGCATACCAATTCCAAAAAATTAAAATTTGTTGTAGTCACAAATTTTGAAATCTGTTGGATGTCACCTGTAGCATCCATATGACCACCACTTACCACATTTGCTTTGCTTCAGGCAATCTAAAGCTTGGCGTTAAATACCTTCTAGCAATTTCTTTGATGGGTACAGTAAACCAATACCGCCCTGACGTTGACCAAATTCTCTGTGCAAAATCCGATTCGTTTTCCCACCGGTCGGTAAGTTATTGTGCTATGCAACGTTCACAAATGCATTCTTGCTTTACCTTGCCGAAACGACGAGCGGCCTGCTGGCCTTGTCAATTCCTTGCTAGAAAGAGGGGAGGGGGTAGTGGTCAGAACAACAGGAAGGTGCAAAGAGTTTACAGAAACTTAGGACGTCGTTTATTCTGAACAAGGTTATTGGATAGAACAATTTTTTTTTTCACAAACCTCCTGCCTTGCAATTGAATCGTTATTTTAGCAACTCGTCAAACGCCCAATTCCTTATTTCGAGAAAACTAAGAAGTGTCCTAGCAGGTTTGGATTTTATGATTTCAAAAATATTTTTAAAATGTTAAAACAGTTGAAAAAAGTATTTTTCATGTAAATATTTTTTTAAGTTTTAAGTCGTTCACTTGACGAGTTCTTATAATAAAAGATCAAAAATAACTTTTTTAAATTGTAATATAATTAGTGTTTCTATTTATTATTTATTACATTAGACAATACGATTTTAGAATATACGAACTTTTTGACAGAAAAATCTTGAAAAATCAGACTTGTTTTTCGTCTTCAAGAGCAACATCACCTTCACAGTCTCTGCTTGGCCAATGCAAAATGTTGTCACAAAAGTGTTCATAGCCAACTACATACATTTTTAATTTAACTAAATCCTATATTTTCCCCCTCGTGTCTCCTTTTATATGCAAGTTCCTCTTCAGAACTAGGGATATTGCCACAAAAAATAACTTTTTCTTCCATACCAAGCAGCACAATCAAATCGCTTGTAAAATACACTTCAAAACAATGCTCTGAATAGATACTGATCTTACAAACTTACTACTAGATCTTACAAACTGAGAACAATGTCTCAATTTTTAGAAACGCAGAAAGTGATCACAGCGACAGTCCCTGTAACTATCCCTGGGTTGGTACTGATACCCTTTCAAAGTAGATTGTGTTACAATTGTAATTATTAGCTTTATTATTAGACTTATTAATTGTCCACGTGACCATTTGCGCCAATGTCCGCATACGACTACTGCAAGGTTAAAAGGAAATTTACTTTTGGCTTATAGCAAATAGCAGTCAATTGGCGTTACTCGGGTTTCTGTTTTAAGCACGATTTTTAGTATTTCGGACTGCATTGCGACAGTTGCACATAGTTGATTTCTCTAATAAACGATGTGTCTATCCATATTAAACAATATTCCACAGATAACGCGTTTTTTCAATGTTATTTTAAGAAATTTGGCTTTTGACGAGTTTCATAAAAACAATTCAATTATTCTACAGGTATCTGCGTAAAAATGTTTAATAATAAAAAAATCATTATTTTGGGAATAATTGCTCAAATAATTTGTCATAAAAATATCATTTGTGAATTGTATCTATGACATGATTATCTCTTCTACGTTTTCTAAGGCACCGAATGTTCCCACGTATGGGATATGCTTGAATGGTCCAGGAGTTACAGTCGGGCGTATTTTACTTAAAACATTGACTCTAATTGATTCATTAAATTAAAAACATTTTACAGCAATATATAGAATTAGTCAATTTTTCATTTAATACTTATTGTTTTTATCTATTTAAACCTAGTATCCTTTTGCCTTTCAATTTATAGATTTAAACCTCTTGTTATCGCTTTTCGGCCCCCGCCTAGTAATCAATTCACCAACATCTTACTCAAAGGCATTTCTAGGTATATTACACCATATCAAAATAATAGACACGGCTAGAGCAACTTCGCGGTCAAAAACAGAGACTGTTAGAAGTGCCTTTATACGAAAAAGCCGATAAAGAACAATTGACACGTTTTCAAGACATCTTTGCACTAGGAAAAAATTTACTTATACAATTTTTCTCATCATTGCATTTTTCGTATTTTGACATTTACTCCTCAAAGCTGAATTATTTTTTCCAAATTGATTTAAATACATGTTCGAGTACAAATACACAAGTTTAGAAATATTGCAAAAATAAGCCTGTCTCTTCTTTGAACTTGTCTTCAATCATTTTTACTGGACGATTTCTCTAGAGCTTTCCTTCATTTATTCTTCAATGAATGAGTAGGTTTACTTCTACATGCATGCATATACGGAAGTTACTTCGTCGGATGTGGGTTTCCGATTGCTGAGGTATCTCCTGAGTTCCATGGAAAATCACAGAAAACCATGCATTCGTCATGGCTTTTTCACTTAAGATTTTACACGATCTCCATCTCACATCGAAACCCTTACTTTCTTATGTTTAGTTGTGAGTCGCGCATAGTAATACAATGCCTTTAGTTGGATGCTAAAGAAAGTAAACTTGCATTCTTTCATTAGGAATCAATTAGCTTTTTTCACAAGAACCTTTACTTATGGAAAAATGAAAGAAGTTATTTTAAGAAGCAGTAACATAGATTGGGAAATACACCCCAAACATTTTTGACTTACACGTCATCAAATGCAATCATCGAATCAAGAAATTCCTTAACAATTCTCATAGCGTTATTTCTTAATATTCGCTACTTATATAATATTCTTTAGACATTAATTATATATGATTACGAAACATTTCTACATAAATATAGCAGCATTATTTCATAAGCTCAGTCTTAGTTATTAAGCAAGGGAACTGAAAAATAATTGGGTTCCATTACCTGAAACAGAAATACTATACTCAGGAGATTTAGTTATTAAGTTGTATTTTAAATTTTACAACGATAAATGAAATATCTTAGGGGACGTTACATGATTTTTTGACTTCAAATCTCGTATATCTCCTCCTCTAGACAATTACATTTGAGGGGCAGCTGTTTAGTAGCGATTGAATTTTCAATAACTGCGTCGAACCGTTTCATTTAAAAAATAAACCTTGATTAATATTTATATAATCCAATTTAAATACGAGTTACCGAGATTGTTCCTCGCATATTCTAAGTGACGGCTTAGTATACTTTTTGATAAGTTCAAGACATTCGTCTCTATGCATCTATGAATAATAAACGGATCAGTGATTCGAAAATAAATCTTCTAAATTTTTGTTACTTTTTTACGTTTTTACAACATAAATTCGAATGAAATTTAATGACAGTTAGTCTCGACTGGGTAAATATTCCTGCAAAAATGTTCGTATTTCTAAAAAAGACACGAGCTTTTAGTTCTACAAGAAGAAATATCTGAGGGCCAAAATAGTAGGGTATGTACCAAGGTTAGGTGTTTACCAATGGATGCAGACCACGCGGAACACAGAACACTACCAACGTAGTCCGAGAAACCAACTTTAGACACGATTAAAAGGTCAAAAATTGCTACTTTATAGAAGAAAATGTACACAAACGTCGGTACTATGGCTCGTTTTACAGCGTTAAATCTCACTGAAACCTAAGTGGCCCTCTGAGGCGTACAATAGTAGATTCCCGCAAATGCAAAATTCCGGATAATCCGAACAAAATTAGGGATAGAGGAAAAATAAGCAAAATAAATAAAATACTTATTTGTAGTGTAAAGAAAGGATTTTGTACCTACTATAGAACTGAACTACTAATTATTGAAACAAGTAGTCGAAATGAATCATTTATTGCATTTGTAACTACGGTGTACGTATATCACTTATGTAGCAATAATTTTTCACTTTGATGCATTTAAAAAATCGGTTATCTTCTTTTGCCGTAAGAAACTGTATCTGATTATTCGGATCACTACGCTACGTTGCAGTGTGTCTGGTAACCCTATAGACACAAGTACTTGTATATATACAATACATTTTTTTTCGGCTAATCCGAACATTCGCAAACCAAACCTCCAATTAGTTCGGATTCCACAGTACTTCGTTCCACGTACGCAAGGTCCCGTCATGCGCAGGACTCCAGAGGAGGAGAGAAAGGAGGAGGTGGAGGAGGAGGAGGGGAGGATGAGGAGGGAGGAGGAGGGGAAGGAGGAGGGGAGGAGGAGGAGGAGGGGAGGAGGAGGAGGGAGGAAGAGGAGGAGGGAGGAGGAGAGGGGAGGGGGGAGGGAGGAGGAGGAGAAGAGGAAGGAGAGGAGCGGAGGAGGGGGGGAGGAGGAGGAGGAGAGGAGAGGAGGAGGCAGGAGAAGGAGGAAAGAGGAGAGAGGAGGAGGAGGATGAGGAGGAGGAGGAGCAGCAGAGGAGCGGTGGTGCCGAGTGGTGCCGCGTGCCGCGTGGCCTCCACCAGACCGCTAGGCGCAAACCTCGTCCTCTCGTAACTTGTACGCGCGGCGTACTACTTGTTAGCGACCTCCCGCCCCCCCTCCCCGCTCCTCTATCGCACGCTGCTAACCAGCCCACCCGCCGCCGCCGCGCTCCGTGCCCTCCCCCTCACCCGGCAGAGCGTTAAACGCTTCTCGGAAGAGATGAGTCCACCCGTGATCGCGAGGAGGTAGCACACGGCTTGCGCGGCGAGCACTGGATCACGAAGAGTCGAAAGGCTCGAGAGAGTAGACGCAATGACCATTATCATATTTCGTTAATTTTATCAAAATTGGACGTGGAGATTATTTTTAAGCAAGAAGAAATCCCTTAAAACGATATTTTGTATTTAAATTTACAGTAAACTTCAAGAATATGACTCATTACTAAGCAAGACGTGAAATAACCGCAGTTTGTACATCTTTGAATAAGTAGCATTGCTGTATAATGTGATTTTCGGAAAGAAAAAAAAAACAAGATTGGATACCATCTGTATAGTATAATAAATTAATCATATACGAGGCCTCAATTAAAAATATTTTTGGGACCACTCTCTTGCTACAAATTATAAATTTTGCAGATCAGATTTGCAGGAAACGGCCGCGAATTTCTGACCAATAGATTTACAGTTTTCTAAATACTACACATTTATCGATTGTATTTTAAAGCCGTCAGAGTTATGCTTTAACAGTAAATAATTAAATTTTTAATCACGTCATTTAATAGTTATTTTGGCTCCCCGCACCGATAACGCCCTAATCTGCAGCTTGCTGTAGCTGTGAATCTACTCCAGCGTGTGCACAAAAAAAGCAAATACGGAAAAAAATGGAAAAGTCTGGAAATTGCTTGCG